CATTCATCACTTTCTCATTTATGTTCAGTTCTACGTAGTTCAACCAATACTTACACAAAGCAGCCAAAACTAATTCAACTATAGCCAACGAATTTGAGAGTGTCAAATCTTCAATCAAAGAATTTTAATTGAATTAGTTTTGGCTGCTTTGTGTAAGTATTGGTTGAACTAATTCAATTTGACAGTGACGCCATTTTGATTTTACGTTTCACTAGTTACAGTTTAAGTGTCAATGATTGTGAGTAGTAATATAACCCAACTAGTGAGTTGGGGTCGATCTCACAGGGAGTAGTACTTCCTTCAAATTCAATAATAAAAGTACAATGACAACCTCTTCAATCAAACAATTCTTGCATAATTAATGTTTAAATCTCAAATTTTGGGTTTTAACTATCAATCCAAATTTAGACTTCAACAAAAACAATCAAGCATTAGAGTACAACTTGGGGAATTGATCAGCCAATTATTCAATCTCAACGATGTGGATAAACGTTACTGCTCATAATGGGATAATTTGTTTTGGGTAGGTCGAACCATATATGGGTAACTTTTGCTCGAACAATTACCTTTTCTATGTTGAATTCTCTCGAACTTCAACATTAATCGAATGAGGCCCAACTCTTTACCCTCATCAAATTCACTATCTCGAGCTGAATACAAAGGATGGATCACTTATTTCACTCTCTCAACCTGAAACCAAGGAAACACACTACTAAGGGTGCTAAGATTGCCACCTTGGTACCACACCTCTCTCTCGAGCAAGTGCACAACACTAAAATTGATACACGAAGTCACACAATTCAACCTTGGAACACAACAACAACTTCGACCCACTTCAATTAACACCATTCTTCCCAACTAACAAACACACACTAAGTAAATTCAATAATTAGCTTCATGATCAAAATCCCAAGTAAAGGGTTTTTGCCACTCATCTCAAAAATAGGAAAATCAAAATCAATTTTCACTCCCATAGTTAGGTACAAAATGAGAATTATAAATGAAAAACAATTGAAAATTTCCTCTCTCTCAAAATCTTGCTAAAATCAATAACTAAACGCTTTGGTAGTGTTCTCTCTCTAAGTAATTCCTTCCTCACATTCTAAATGAATTTATCTCTCTATCCTAAACTAATTTAACAATTTTGAAGTGTCACTGCTTTTGACCACTCGGCGAAGTAAGTCGAGTGTCGCTGACTGATCGGCGAATCACCGATTGTTCTTCATCTCGCCTGCATTTTTCACTTTTTCTTGGTCTGGCTACTGTAACTTTAGGCGATCCAGGTTGGGGTCACCTAATTACTTCGCGATGCACCCTCTGTCCTTCCATCTCGTCAGCACTTGCTTGAATCTTCTTTAGCACATTTGGCGACCTAGTTGTCTTTCACCGACTAGGTAGGAGATACGCTGAATATAGTTGTTGCTCCCCGAATTCACCCCCATCTTAGCTTCGACAATCAATAACTTTAGGCGGTATCTTGGCGATTTGGTGTTTCGCCGAATGACATTGGTGATTTGCCGATTCGTCGAATGACATCATCGATCATCAGGTCTTCATTTCTTCATTCCTTTAGCTTTCTTTGTTCCTTTTTTCCCAATAGTGTTCATGCTTTGTCTCTAAATCCAAGTACGTGAAACTCAAGGAATTGCATCATTTATTGAGACAAAATATGCATTCGAGGACACTAAATTTAGCAAAAATAAAGTCCTAAATGAGACCAAATCGTGGACTCATCCAGGGCATTGGGATGTCAGTTGATCTTATTTCTTCAACTTATCATATTATTATTGTGTTTGTACTTTGTGAAGTATACATTACGATTAAAGTTATTTTCTGTAAAATTTGTTATTCCTTATATCTTTTAGCGAGCTATTGTGCTAAGAATGAGGCAGAACTAATGAAGATTTATTATTTTGTATCTAAGGGGGTGTGAAACATTTCTTCCTCATGAGAAATTATCACAAACAATTTGTCGAAAATCATAGTCTTACTAAATGTTGTACCCCATTCTTTTGGTTATATACTTGTCAAACAATTTTGTTTCTAAGCAGACTCACTCCACTACCAAATTGGACTTTCCTATAGCAAATCAATTCAGACATGTCAGTCTCCTTTTGAGTCTCTAAATGATTAATTTTTCTAAGTTGAAGTACTGTAACACCCCTAAATACTAACCAAGAGTCTCATGTTGATTTACCGTTGCTTAATTACTAGAATATGTTTTAGTCTCATTTTGGGAACTTGAAGTGTTGTGATAATTGCCAACTTGCTTAGTATAAATTCTTATCGTAATTTAAGGATTTGTGATGGGGTGTTTAGGTAATATCCTAATTAGAATTATGTATAACTTTAAAAGGAAGTTAAGGGATATACATATAGATATATATGTATACATTTTGGGCAGCACACAAATATTTGGGCAGCACCTTTGAAGGACAGCTGCCCAAGGGATAAACATCACTTGTTGACTATATATTTTCACCCCTCCTTTAGTAATTTCGTTTTTCTCAAGCCTTAGAACCTTAGAAACATATCTAAACAGAATGTTCTTCAAAATCACAAGAGAAACTTGGCCCTTTTTGGCTGGAATTCAAGAAAACACACTTCTTTTTGGTAAGTGACGAAATCTGTTTCTCAGCTGGGTAGTGTTTGCTGTTTTATGCATATCTCTCGTTCTAGAAATTAGTTTACATAGAGTAAATATGATTTGGAAAGATAATACGTAGACCTACAACTCTTATGTTTATGTCAAACTCTGATTCAGCTGTTATGGATTCGAAATATGGGACGCAACATAGGACAAGTTTTGTCCAGATTCTGGAATTTGAAATTCTGTATGCACAGCTGTTAGTGTTTTGACTATATCTTGTTGTACACAATACATTTTTCGGTGATTCTTGTTTTTTTACAACCCTAAGAGATGTATCTACATATTTCATGAAGGTTATAAAGTCTAGTTTTGCTGTTTTCCATTTCAAATCTAAGTTGCGACATGAGGTACTAGGCTGGCCAGAATCACTGTCTTGGGAGCATTGTTGTGTTTGTGCAGGCGAATTTTACTTGTGATGATGATCCTATTTTACATCAATATTATTGAGCTTCCAGGGATTAAAGAAGTTGTTTAATTGTATTTTAAAGGTTGTATATACTCGTGAACAAGTTGAGGACCTTGATACATTGGTTGGACTGCTTCCTTGCTAAAGCTCCGAGGTTTGTGTATAAACTTGTACTTTCACTCTTTTAACCTCTAGTATATTTGAAATTGGATCTTGCTACCTTGGTTACCTCTTGTCACTTTGCATTGTTGTGTTGGTATCCTTTGAGACGTTAAAGATGCTTGTGTAACTCGCCCACTTGTACGGATTGTTTGATCACCTAGCACTCTTGTTGGGACCTTTTCCTTCTTGTGGCTGTGACTTTGTCACTCTTGGCATGCCTCTTGATTCGGATCATTTGCCATCTTGACTTTGGATTTTTAGTTCGTCTTAAGTATGGATGTTGTCCATTTTAAGTACGAATTAGAAAGCCATTTTTAATATGGTTCTTGGTTCTCTTGATTATTGGGCTTTCACCCTTCTTGATATAGGGCGTCGACCCTTCTTGATACTTGTTTGTGCTTGGTGTGAAGACATGATGTACATATTGGGCGAGCCTTGTTGTTGAGTCTCTTGGAAAATGATGTTATGAACGTTCTTGACATGTGGGTCTTTAAAGATCGAACTTGATACTCTTTATATATTGTTTACTTGATTTATTAATTATGTTCAATTATGTTGCCCATGACTTGAGAAAGTTTGTTTTGTGAATCGGATGGCTCCGAAACTATAGTTTTGCACCACTAAGCTATATGCTTAGCGATAGTTGTTTCTATCGTAGGGGAATGATCGAGTGGATGCAGGAAGCGGGCCATTGGAGATGGAATTTTTGAGAGCCTTAAGGAAGATCACATTTGCATTTAGACATCTATATTTTGTATAAACCTTGGGACTTGTACATGATCTTTTTGTTGTATATTTATATGAAATTTCGATGACTAATGTGATCATGTCACCATGGGTTGTAAATTAAGTATGACTATATGTTTTGTTCTTTTGGGGTGTGTAAGCCCAAGTATTGCAATATACTAAATTTACTATTTGTTTTGAATATTTGTGTGAAGCATGAACGGGCTGATTTCGGTACTTCGAAATGGGTAATATTCATATTATTTCATCCTTAAGTGTGAATATAATATATGCATGAAAAGCTCATCGGTTATTTGCTTAAAGTGATTTTGGGAGGGTTTTTCCGTCATAAGTTGAAACTCCGTGCCATATCAATTTTGACATCACATAAATGTTTAAATGTACAAGATGCACATCCTTATCTAATTTTTTTCCCTTTATGAACCTAATCCCTCTATTAAACTAAAATCAATATGGCCATAGTAAATCTCTTTTAATTGTCGCAAGTATTTAAGTAGTTTTCTTGCTTAGGTGGTAGTGTCCTTTCGAAAGGGTCGTTACAATTATTGGTATCAAAGCCTAGGTTTGTGGTTCTAGGACTTTTGTTGTGACTTACTTGTATACTTGTTCACATTCGAAAAAGGTTCTATTTGTATTATTTGTTCACTTGCATGGTTTATAATATTTTCATCACATGTAGAGTGTACATGCATCATGTACATGTCCCTAACGCAATGTGATCTTCCTTTTGAAGGATTAAGTTATGGCCTCTTCTTCTGACCGACCTATGGAAGCTGATCGTGAAGGGTCGGGTAACTCTGTGCCCCAGCCTCATGCACTAGAAGAGGTGGGCGAACCTTTCTCGAATCAATATGTTCCCCACACTAGTGGGTCTGAAGTGGGAAACCATCAGGGTGTAAGAGCGGGTTCACATCCTCAGATGAGCCGTGTACTCAAGCTAGGAATCCTCCTTTTCAACAAATGGTTGAATTCTTCCACCACATGGCTGAAGCGATGCATGATCCCAACGTGATTAACTTTGAGAAAATGAGGAAAATGGGTGGAGTAGAGTTTGAAGGCACCGTTGATCCCACTGATGCTGAACAATGGCTGGAGCGCATGGAAAGGGTGTTTGAGCAGTTGGAATGTTCTGATGTTGCCAAATTTAAGTATGCTATTTCACTATTACAGAAGGATGCTTATGATTGGTGGGTAAGTGTTCCAAATGCCAAGGTAAAACCTCCTGTTCTTACTTGGGATGATTTTCTTAGGGAATTTCGTATGAAATATGTCCCACCTGCTTATTGTGATGCAAAGAGAAAGGAGTTTTTGAATTTAAGGCAACGAGGTATGTCAATTGTTGAGTACCAACAGAAGTTTTTAAGGCTTTCTCGTTATGCTGGAGGTATTATTAAAGAGGAAAAAGACAAGTGCAGGAAATTTGAAGATGGTTTAAATGATTCCATCAGAAAGAATGTGGCGATCCTGCAACATGAGAACTTTTGTAAGTTAGTGTCTGCTGCATTTACTTGGGAGCGACTTGATAAAGAAGAAGCTAGCAGAAATGAAAGCAAATTCCAGAAGCCTAGAACCGATTTTGGGGGGCCATCAAAAAGGGGAAGGTTTGATAACTTTAAGGCTAGTAGTGATAACAAGCCACCACAACAAAAGCAAAGCAGATCAAATTTTTCTACAGCTAGCACGCCAAATTATGGCCAAGGTAAGCCTCGCGTTCCCACTTGTTCGCAATGTGGAAAGAATCACTATGGTACTTGTAGGAGAGCTTCTGGTGCATGTTTCAATTGTGGGAGCTTTGATCATAAAGTGAAGGATTGTCCTAATCCTAATAATGCTCCTTCCTTGAGAACTGAAGGCTCAGTTCATAAGCCTTCTATTAATCCTTCTCAAACTAATAGAGGTGTAAGACCTAAAAACACCCAAGCAGCAGGTACAAGTGGAGCTAATCAAGCTAGTGGGCAAAGGGGTACTGCACGTGCTTATGCTATGAGGCAGAGGGATGATCAAGATGGACAAGACGTGGTTGTCGGTAAATTTCACTTATTTGGCTTATGTGTGTTTACATTGATTGATCCGGGTTCTACACATTCATATATTTGTTCATCACTTGTTCTTCCTGAAAATGTGAAATCTGTGAAACTTAATTATGATGTGCTGGTTGAAAGTCCTTTGGGTTATCAGGTTGTGTGTAATCGAATTTATCGTGATTGACCCTTCGTGATTCAAAGCCTGGTCTTCCCTGCTGATTTGATTGAAATGCCCTTCAAGGATTTTGATGTTATTATCGGGATGGATTGGCTTCATAAATATCATGCAGTGGTAGATTGTAGATCAAAGCATGTGAATTTTAAAGATCCGACATTTTCACACATCATTGTACAAGGTGAAAGATCGTTGACAGCTAGTATTATTTCTGCGGCCTTGGCAAGAAAATTGATGCGTCAAGGATGTGGGGCATACCTTGCTCACATAATTGATACACGGTTGGAGAGTCCTTGTATCAAGGACATACCTGTTGTATGTGATTTTCCAGAAGTTTTCCCAAGAAACCTTCCTGGATTGCCCCCGGAAAGAGAGGTTGAATTCATAATCGAGCTTATTCCTGGATCTACCCCTATTTCTATCACTCCTTATAGAATGGCTCCGGCAGAATTAAGAGAATTGAAAGCTCAATTGCAAGAACTTCTTGAGAAAGGTTTTATTCGACCTAGTGTTTCTCCTTGGGGAGCTCCTGTTTTGTTCGTCAAGAAGAAAAATGGCACTCTTAGGCTTTGCATCGACTATAGACAATTGAACAGAATAACAATCAAAAATAGATATCCGCTACCAAGGATCGATGATTTGTTTGACCAACTGAAGGGTGCTAAAGTATTCTCAAAGATTGATTTAAGGTCTGGATATCACCAACTGCGTGTTAGAGCGGAAGATATTCCTAAAACTGCTTTCAGAACTCGATATGGGCATTATGAATTTTTGGTGATGCCATTCGGATTGACAAATACTCCTGCGGTATTCATGGATATAATGAATCGAGTATTCAAGCCTTATCTTGATCAGTTTGTGGTTGTTTTTATAGATGATATTTTAATATTTTCCAGAAGTAGCGAAGACCATGATAAACACCTCCGAATTATTTTGCAAATTTTGAAGGAGAAGGAACTTTATGCTAAACTTTCCAAGTGTGAATTTTGGCTTGATGAAGTAACATTTCTAGGACATGTTGTATCAGCTGAAGGCGTGAAGGTGGATCCTAGTAAGATACAAGCGGTTGTTGAATGGAGACCTCCCAAAAGTCCAACCGAGGTAAAAAGTTTCTTAGGCTTAGCAGGATACTACAGAAGATTTGTGAAAGGCTTTTCCATTATCGCCTCTCCTTTGACTAAACTGTTGCAAAAGGAAGTAAAGTTTATTTGGGATGACAGATGCCAAGAGAGCTTTGAAACTCTCAAATCCTTGTTGACTCAAGCGCCTATACTTACTCTACCAATTGAAGGGAAATAATATGTAGTATACAGTGATGCTTCTCACAATGGTCTCGGATGCGTTTTGATGCAAGAAGGGAAGGTTATTTCTTATGCCTCTCGGAAATTAAAACCGCATGAATTGAATTATCCTACCCATGATCTTGAACTTGCTGCTGTAGTGTTTGCTTTAAAAATATGGCGGCATTATTTGTATGGAGAGAATTGTCATATATTTACTGATCACAAGAGCTTAAAGTACTTGGGTACTCAGAAGGAGCTAAACCTTCGACAACGTAGATGGCTTGAACTCATCAAGGATTATGACTGCACAATTGATTATCATCCAGGTAAAGCCAATGTGGTTGCCGATGCCTTAAGTCGAAAATCCTTCGCAAGCATTTCCTTGAGTCCTTTATCCTTGCTTCTTGAATTACGAGCTATGAATGTTTGTTTTACACCTGAGTCAAATGGTTCAGTTATTGCTAATTTGCAAGTGAAGCCAATATTACATGAACAGGTGAAGGAAGCACAAAAGATAGATGAGAAACTTGTAAAATTGACCAGAGAAGTTCAAAATGGGGAAAAGCTTGATTTTACATTAGGAGAGGATGGTGTCTTATTTTACCAGAACAGGTTATGCGTCCCTAATGATGACAGCTTGAGGAAAAAAATATTGAAGGAAGCACATACTTCACCATATGCAATGCATCCTGGAGGTACAAAGATGTATCTGACCATCAAAGAACATTACTGGTGGAATGGTATGAAGAGAGACATTGCGGAGTTCATTTCTAAATGTTTGGTTTGTCAACAAGCAAAGGCAGAACATCAGGTCCCAGTTGGTTTACTACAGCCCTTGTCGATGCCGGAATGGAAATGGGAGAGAATAACTATGGACTTTGTTTCTAGACTTCCTCGCACTCAGAGAAATCATGATGCAATATGGGTGATTGTGGACAGACTAACCAAGAGTGCTCACTTCTTAGCAATCAAGACGGATTACTCGCTTGAGCGTTTAGCCGAATTGTACATTAATGAGATTGTAAGACTACATGGGATCCCTGTGTCTATTGTATCTGACCGAGACCCAAGGTTTACATCTAGATTTTGGGGTAGCTTGCAGGAAGCTTTGGGTACTAAGTTGAGATTTAGCACTTCGTTCCATCCTCAGACGGACGGCCAGTCGGAAAGAGTGATACAAATTTTGGAGGATATGCTTCGAGCTTGTATTATGGAATTTGAGGGTAGTTGGGACAAACACTTGGCTTTGATAGAATTTGCTTATAATAATAGCTACCAATCGAGTATTGGAATGCCTCCCTATGAAGCCCTTTACGGAAGGAAATGTCGGACCCCTCTTTGTTGGAGTGAAGTGGGTGACAGAAAGCTTGTTGGTCCTGAAATTGTGCAACAAACAGAGGACAAGGTAAAAATTATCAAGGATCGTCTAAAGATTTCTTCGGATAGACAAAAGTCGTATGCTGATCTTAAAAGGCGGGACATTGAATATCAAGTGGGAGATAAAGTATTCCTAAAGGTGTCTCCATGGAAAAAGATTATGAGTTTGGCCAAAAAGGAAAACTTAGTCCCCGATTTATTGGACCTTATGAGATACTTGAAAGGGTTGGACTAGTTGCATATAAATTAGCTTTGCCACCGGAGTTGGAGAAGATCCACAATGTCTTTCATGTTTCTATGCTCAGAAGATATCGTTCGGATCCATCGCATGTTCTCCCAGTTGAATCTATTAAGGTTAATCCTGACTTGACGTATGATGAAGAACCTATTTTAATTCAAGCTCGGGAAGTGAAGCAACTTAGAAACAATAGAATCCCCTTAGTAAAGGTACTTTGGAGGAACCATTCTGGAAAAGAACCTACTTGGGAAAGAGAAGAAGACATGAGGACCCAGTATCCGCACTTGTTCCGGGACAAGCGTAAGGTAAATTTCGAGACGAAATTTCTTTAAGGGAGAGAGAATTGTAACACCCCTAAATACTAACCAAGAGTCTCATGTTGATTTACCGTTGCTTAATTACTAGAATATGTTTTAGTCTCATTTTGGGAACTTGAAGTGTTGTGATAATTGCCAACTTGCTTAGCATAAATTCTTATCGTAATTTAAGGATTTGTGATGGGGTGTTTAGGTAATATCCTAATTAGAATTATGTATAACTTTAAAAGGAAGTTAAGGGATATACATATAGATATATATGTATACATTTTGGGCAGCACACAAATATTTGGGCAGCACCTTTGAAGGACAGCTGCCCAAGGGATAAACATCACTTGTTGACTATATATTTTCACCCCTCCTTTAGTAATTTCGTTTTTCTCAAGCCTTAGAACCTTAGAAACATATCTAAACAGAATGTTCTTCAAAATCACAAGAGAAACTTGGCCCTTTTTGGCTGGAATTCAAGAAAACACACTTCTTTTTGGTAAGTGACGAAATCTGTTTCTCAGCTGGGTAGTGTTTGCTGTTTTATGCATATCTCTCGTTCTAGAAATTAGTTTACATAGAGTAAATATGATTTGGAAAGATAATTCGTAGACCTACAACTCTTATGTTTATGTCAAACTCTGATTCAGCTGTTATGGATTCGAAATATGGGACGCAACATAGGACAAGTTTTGTCCAGATTCTGGAATTTGAAATTCTGTATGAACAGCTGTTAGTGTTTTGACTATATCTTGTTGTACACAATACATTTTTCGGTGATTCTTGTTTTTTTGCAACCCTAAGAGATGTATCTACATATTTCATGAAGGTTATAAAGTCTAGTTTTGCTGTTTTCCATTTCAAATCTAAGTTGCGACATGAGGTACTAGGCTGGCCAGAATCACTGTCTTGGGAGCATTGTTGTGTTTGTGCAGGCGAATTTTACTTGTGATGATGATCCTATTTTACATCAATATTATTGAGCTTCTAGGCATTAAAGAAGTTGTTTAATTGTATTTTAAAGGTTGTATATACTCGTGAACAAGTTGAGGACCTTGATACATTGGTTGGACTGCTTCCTTGCTAAAGCACCGAGGTTTGTGTATAAACTTGTACTTGCACTCTTTTAACCTCTAGTATATTTGAAATTGGATCTTGGTACCTTGGTTACCTCTTGTCACTTTGCATTGTTGTGTTGGTATCCTTTGAGACGTTAAAGATGCTTGTGTAACTCGCCCACTTGTACGGATTGTTTGATCACCTAGCACTCTTGTTGGGACCTTGTCCTTCTTGTGGCTGTGACTTTGTCACTCTTGGCATGCCTCTTGATTTGGATCATTTGCCATCTTGACTTTGGATTTTTAGTTCGTCTTAAGTATGGATGTTGTCCATTTTAAGTACGAATTAGAAAGCCATTTTTAATATGGTTCTTGGTTCTCTTGATTATTGGGCTTTCACCCTTCTTGATATAGGGCGTCGACCCTTCTTGATACTTGTTTGTGCTTGGTGTGAAGACATGATGTACATATTGGGCGAGCCTTGTTGTTGAGTCTCTTGGAAAATGATGTTATGAACGTTCTTGACATGTGGGTCTTTAAAGATCGAACTTGATACTCTTTATATATTGTTTACTTGATTTATTAATTATGTTCAATTATGTTGCCCATGACTTGAGAAAGTTTGTTTTGTGAATCGGATGGCTCCGAAACTATAGTTTTGCACCACTAAGCTATATGCTTAGCGATAGTTGTTTCTATCGTAGGGGAATGATCGAGTGGATGCAGGAA